TCAATCATTAAAGAGACAGCAGGGGAGCTGGTGTCATTGGCTCATAACTATAACCTGAACAACTGGGAGATCTTAGAACAGGAGAATCATGGCTTGAGACTAGACTGGGCAGAGGTGTTTTCAAAATCCCTTCACAACACATAGCTGGGTGCAGCGTCATGTACCAGTTATCCCAAGCTCTTTGGGAGGCTGGATCAGGACAGCCCTGGAAGAGGAAGTCAACCAGACTCCATTTCCGTGGAGGTGAGCTGGGTATGCGCAGCATGGAGTCAAGCATGTTGCATGGATAGTAAGTAAGACCCTGGCCTTGTGCAAACAGGTTTGGAGGCATGGCTCAGCAGTATAGCACCCACCTAACAAGCACAAGTTCCTGAGTTTAAAAGAAGGGCCCTTTTGGTACCTCTTGGTCCATAAAACAAAGACTAAAACATGGATTCTACTTCCAAAGAGCTTTTCATTTCTAACTTTTATAGGACAGGAAGCAGAGAGAGACAGAGAGAGATAGGTAGGTAGATAGAGAGAGAGAAAGACAGAGACAGAGACAGAGAAAGAGAGAGACAGAGAGAGATAGAGAGAGACAGAGAGAGATAGAGAGAGACAGAGAAAGAGAGAGACAGACAGACAGAGAGACAGTACGAACAAGCACCATTCATTTATGGCAGATCACAGTGCCAGTCTTGCTCTGGAGTATGAGATGGAATCTTGTGAACTTCATTGTTGCCTGAGCTGGTCTCTCAAATTGAGATCCCTAGGTCTCTACTTCTCCCTTAGCTAGGATTACTGGCTTTATCCATGATTTCCAGCTATGAAATCTCTTGACAGTACAATAGAAATCTAAGAAATTAAAACAGGGTTATATCTTTAAGGGCTACAACTGGGAGAGGAAAAAATTATATATATATATACATATAGTTTTATATGTTACACATGTTACATATAATATATATGTATATTTGCTAATTCTATCTTCTGCAGAATTTCTTCTTTAAGCAGAAATTATCTTGATACCAGGACAGCAGTCACTTCTCAGGCCACAGACGTGCCAATGCTGGCAGTAAGGGTATAGGAGATACGCTCTAGCTGATGGCACCTTACGTAGCACCCACACCCCAGAGCATCACCTGCAGACAAGGCGGAAGAACGGTGTGATGTACCACACTGGGATTCTGAGAAGCTAAAACTTTCTGGCTCAGAAACTCATTTGCAATTACTGACCTCAGAGAGAGCACTCCTGCAAATTTCATTTGCTAGAGAAGATGGAACTGGGAATTGGAAAAGTACCCCTGAGTCTTTGTAAATATGGGCAAGTATATCTGTTACTCGAAATGCTTTGTTGTGTTCCACTGATGAGAAGAAAAACCAACCTACAAAGTGGTATTTGTCTAAATTCCACTCTCACAAATACATATTTTTTAATAAACAGAATCACAGAGTTATATCCAAAGGCACAACGTGGGTAGACTGACTGCAACTGCAACTTTGGGAAGAAGATTTGGGGTCACAGCTCTGAGTCCACGTGGGGTGGGAGTGGGGAAGGGAGGCATCCTGTGGGAACCACTCCTACCTTCTCTTAGCTCATCCCCATCCAACAAGACCCACATTCAAGGAAAAATGTCCACAGGGGACCTCCTCTCAAAACGACTTTTCACCACTCTAGTTGAATTTACCCAACTGACCACCCCCTGAGAGCTGTCTCTATTCACACCTGTCCTCCATTTTCCTGTCCACATTCAATACCACGCAAATACTTCTGGCTTCCCCCTGAGATTCAGGCTGGCAGTCTGTCCCTCCCTGCCTACCACACAGCGCTCAGCTGAGCAGAATGGAACTGCTTAGCTCTGCATCCAGCCCATGCCTCTCCCCTAGCTTCCAGAGACGCATAGCATCTGGGTTAACCCAACTCTCTAGGCAAATGAAACCCACTATTGTGGATAGGTTACACTGGAAGCGACGCTATCATAGTCTATAAAGTTTCCAAGGCCTCAGGTTATCTGCCTTTCTGTTTTTCTTCCCATTTATTGGCTAAAAAGTTAGTTGTTGTTGTTGTTGTTTAATTGCAGGTCAAAACTACTCTTGCCCGAGTTTCTGGTTTAAATCCATTTCCTTCGGCACTCATATATTTCAGAAATCCCACCACTGTAAAAATCCCAATGAAGCATTGTCTTGGCGTGCTCCTGGTCCCAGCAGCCTTTCTCACCCGGGGCTACCAGCACCTGCACAGTCCCTCAGGTGTGTACTTCCACCTCTGGTGCAGTCTCCCCTCTGCAGTCACCTCATGGTTCATGGGGTGTCATCAGCATCACCCTGAGGGGACTCAGAAAAGCCAACTGCCAAGTCTGCGTTAGCCCAGACCTCCCAAATCAAACTCCAAGTACGGGGCTTCATTGTCTAGGTGTTAGAAGCTTCCAGATGATTCAAAGGCACCTTGAAGTTGGTGAATGACTTCACAGTTTTACCTTATTTTGGTTGGCCTGACAACTACAGTAGATTCTTGATTGGTCTTTCAGTTCCTGCTCCTACCCCCTTCCAAATCTTTATCTTTCCAGCGTTTCATGCTGGGTGCCAGTGGCTCACACCTCTAAGTTTAGCTACTCCTGAGGCTAAGATCTGAGGATTGCAGTTCAAAGCCAGTCTGGGCAGAGAAGTTCCATAAGATTCTTATGTCCAATGAACCACCAAAAAAAGCTAGAAGTGGAGCTGTGGTTCAAGCCTTGAACAAAAGAAGCTCAGGGACTGTATCAAGGCCCTGAGTTCAAACGTCAGGACTGAAATATACATACAAAAAAAGTATAAAAATAATTTTCATTCCTAAATTTGATGCAGTCAAACCTGTAATTATTATTTAGAAATCAAAGTGTTTACCATGGCAGAAAGGGCAAGGGAGAGGGAGGGAAGGAAGGAATTTGACCAGGATGCATTGTATACAAGTTTGGAGTATCAAGATTAAACCCTTTCATATGCTAATAACCCTGTATATATGCTAATAAAATGTAAAAATAGTCCCCCCCCAACCCTAACAATAAGAACTCCTTAAATGGCCAGTTGAATTCAATATCCAAAAGGAATAAAATATCAACTACACAAAGAAAAATAGAATCAGTTTAAAGGACAGATCATAAAATGATCTGAGATTCTCAGATGATCACAGATTGTATCAGAGGCTGTCAAGTGACAGGTGGGAATCCTGCATACATTCAAAACTCACCCATACCAGAAATGATACCTGTGCCAGCGCTTATGATACAGGACACTAACACGTCACTTAATTTCATCTCCTTGGGTTTATAATAATATCTATGACTTTAGACATGCCATATACCTTGACCTGGTGCCTCTAATCTTGGTTAACCCATCTGGATAACACACAGGGGCCCATTTGTGGTTAGCCAATCAGCTAAGCTCTTCCTACTGTCTCTCCCTGCTTCCCTCCCTCCCTTCCTTCCCTCCCCTTCTCCCTCTCTCCCTCCCTTCCTCCCTTCCTTCTTTCTTTCTTTTATTCCTTTGTTTTCTTTCTTTCTGTCCTTCTTTTTCCTTCCTTCATTCCTTCCTTCATTCCTTCATTCGTTCGTTTGTTCCTTCCTTCCTTCCTTCCTACCTTCCTTCCCTCCTTCCTTCCTTTCTCTCCCTCTATTCTTTCCTTCTCTTCCTCCCTCCTTTCTTTCCTTGCTTCCTTTTTGTCCCTTTCCATACCTCCTTCCTTTTCTGCATTCTGTCTTTAAGTTTTTGAGGGTCTTTTCTATTGGAACCTAGGCTGGGTTCAAATGTGCAATTCTCCTTCCTTGGCCCCCAGAGGACTGGGATTATAGGCATCTCTAAGACCACACATGTCTTCATTCTGCTTTTGATCATTCCAGCTAAGATTTGCCTTTTGGGTTTTATGTTTGCTTGGCTTTTATTTTCTTTTTGCACACAGTGGAGCTGTGCCTTGGATACAGGATAAGTTCAGGTGGTCCTTTTCTCTTGGTCCCTTAGTGTTCATGTTAGCCATAGATGGCACTTAGTGTCCGGCTCCAGCCATTCTGGGTTACCTGTTATAATCCTTTGCACTCAGTCTTGGTGTCAGTTCAGTTGGGATGACTAAACTCAGGAGAGGAAGGGCTGACCAAGCCAGGCAGGGGCACTGTATAAAGGCAATGAGCAGCCTGAGGTAGCTTACCACTACTTGTGTCCATCATCTCCTTTTTGTAGACACTGTGAACCAAACCCCCACTCCTTACTCTGAGATATGGGTTGGTTCTGTTTTTTACTGCTAAGAAACCTTACTCTCAACAATTGCCTAAAGTACAGACTCATGAAGGCTAATCATAATTTCCAACTTTGGTAAAGACATGAAAAAAACCCCCCACAACCTTTGCTGAGATAGGGACTATCATGGACAACTTATATATCAAAAAGTGCCTAGAGATTAAGCCACTGCACCTGCATAGAAGTTTCTGGATGAGAGTAACATGTGAGCAAGTAAACAAACTCTCTTCCTAATGTACACAAGTCTTATGCAATCCATTCAAGACCCTACAGGATAAGAAGGCTTGAATAAGGTGTTAATACTCATTTCTCCATTTAACTATGATTGAGTGGGACATGAGCTGGGGTAATGGTTATAGAAGGCCCAATTTGGCACTTAGGAGGCTAATGTTTGCTATGAAACGAACTAAGCATAGGAAAAGAAAACAAATGTCATCATGAAAGGAAAGAAAGGGGAAGGGAAGAGAGGCAGGAAGGGGAAAGGAAAGGAGAAAGAAAACTCTAAGAAACAATCATGTAAGAGTAGAAGCAGATAACCTGCTGTCCATGGAGAGGAATCTCAGATTTAATGCCACAACACCCATGGCGACACCTGTAACGCACACACTCAGTGCTCAGTTCCTGTCGTCGCCATCATCACTGCTACCTGCTTACTGGCGATACGTTGCAAGCTCGCGTGTGTGTCCCCATGAGCACGAATGAGAATCACAGATCTCATGCAGCAGGCAGGGAAGAAGAGAAACGGGCAGACTCACGTTCAGCTGTAACTCGTCCGTCCACTGCCCGATCAGACGATAACCAGGGTTGGTGGTGTTGGTTGTCTGGTACTGAAAGATGTCATAGCGCCCAGGCGCGTCTCCATTCTTGTTGAACATCACCGGGGTGCCAGCACTTCCTGCAGGTGACCAGGAAGGAGAGATGTCATTGTGGAGCCAGAGTTCCTCCATCTCCTAGGCTAGGGGTGAGCCGGGAGAGCTGGGAAGGGACAGGGTGGAGACTTTTCACCAAGGAAGAAAGGAATTATTTTGGTTTCAGCGTTTCCCAGCTTTCAGTGCATGTCATTGTGTTTGTGGGGCTGGGGTGAGGTAGAATATTGTGGTGGAAGGGTGAGACAGAGGGAGACCATTTACCCCACAGTGGCCAGGAAGGCAAAGAAGATAGAATTCCTGCACTAGTGGGTTGTTGTCGTTGTTTTTTCTCTTCTGTTCCTAGTGGAACCCCAGCTTTCGGGTGGTGTGCCGCCCTCAGAGATGACGCCAGAGGAACGCCACAGATCAGCACAGCTGAGAAGCACATGTGCTTCTCAACACTATCAGAGGACAGCCAAGGTGAACCCGTTAATCAGAGACAACCTCATTGTTTCCACGATTCCCTCCACATGGTCTCCATCATTTGTGGGCAGGTCACCAGTAAGAGCTGCCAGTGCTAATGATATAAAGCAGAAAGGTAGTCCGTCTTCTCCTATAGTTCAATGTCTCGATATTCCTTAGCATTTTATTCTGGAAATGTCCCCTTCAGGGGAACAAAAACTACACACATAATTTTCTTTTTGGAGACAACATTAAATTTTCACAGTTCTGCTGATGAGAATGGCAATAATGATGACGAGGGTGGTTTTATTGTTTTAGTTTCTGCCCAACTATAAACTGTGGCAACTAAAGAACCATTTTTCAAAACTATGAAATTATTTTTAAAGGGTATGTAATTAAAAATAACCAAGCAAATAAGCAAAAAAATTTAAAAAAAGGTTTATCTAGATGTGTATTTCTCTGATGATTATGTTTAGAAGTCTTTTGGGCTGATTATTTCTACATTGCTTTATAGGGTAGTCAGTGTAAAATGCTTATCAGTGTCAGAAAGATGCTCAATAAACACTTTTATTTCTTAATCCTTCTTGTAATGTCCATCTTAAAGTGTAACCCAATTATTTTGATACAATTAAGCATCAAAGTTAATGTTAAAGATAACTACATTTACAGAGTACATATATATACACAAATATATGTATATATATAAAATACATATATAAATGTTTTGATTAGAAGAAAGAACAATTACCAAATCATACACAAAGACCAGAAGCCATCTGTGTGCCTTAGTCTGAGCAACAGTGACAAAAGAATCATAGAATAGTCTGGGAAGTGCAGGTGAATGGGAGGTGGAAGGAGCCACAGGTGTATCTACTGCACAGGTGACAAAGCATACAGAGGTCCACGTGTCCCAGTCGCTCAAGCACTGAGACAACAATAATGCTTAGCCATGGGTTTGGAATCTTCTAGAATGGGTGTAAATACCAGGTTACCAGCTAACTTAGCAAGTTACTCAGCCTCATTCTATGACCTGCCACTCATCACTACCTTTCTGAGAGGGCTGGAGTTACGATTGCTTGGAATGGAGTGTATGATAGGTACAGTTCTGCACTTCTTGCTTCGTGAATGCTTAATTAGATTGTAATGACTCTTACATTTGAGCTGAACAAAAGGGCTATGATAAAAGGTTGTTGTTTGTTAGTTGGTTAATGTTTACCCAGGCAGTGTACAAGCCTTCAGTCATCTGATCTCACATCTTGGTCAGTCCACCAATCTCGTATCTAATGCAGATTTGCCCATTGGTAGAAAGACTGTGTTTTTCAACACGGAGCCCACAGCTCATGTTGGGAGTGGGAGTTAATCACCTGGGAATGCTATGTTGGGTCTATGGCTAGACCTGCATGTGGCCAAAGTCACCGTTTCATTTTCTCCATGTTAATGAGAGACTACATCCCCATGGACCCCGAAAGCACCCACGCCATCACCACAGAGGTCTTAAGCCCTCTGTGTGGGTGAATCAGTACATACCTTCTCAGTGCATGGAGAAAACAAACAGCAACAAAAGCGACATGGATAGCAACAGAAAGCTTCCAGGACTGGCTTTCTGCTGTTAGCAAACTTTCTGAGTCTACGAAAGGAAATGTGGACTCCGCAGGTCATTAGCAAGAAACAGGAATCCTGATCGTGAGCAGGGAGGACATTAATATTCAGTGACTTTTCTTCTCCTACACGTTGCATACTGGAATTCGTGTTGTGCTTTGCTATGAATTCTATGGCTTCTATTCATTAAGTAACGATTCAAACTTTTCATAATCTTTGAGAGAAGAGGAAAAAGTATTCTTGGAGGCCTGGGGCTCCAAAAGATCTCTCTCACCCGCACGAGCTAAATATTCATCAGAATAGACCCATCACACAATCTCTCTCCTTTCTTACAGGCTTTGGGAGAGAAATGATTCTTGTCATGCCCTTTCCATTCTCATTAAAGTTCATGATAAAAAATATGAAAGATGTAGAGCTGAATACTTTATTTAAGTGATGAGTTCTCATAGCTTATTGTATGGCTTTGACCTCAATGGATCTGTATTGCAACTGGCTTATTATTTCCAGGTTTTTGTTTCCTCCCCTACAACTCCCTTTTTAAGAGCATCCCTGCAATTCTTGAAAAGGAGAAAGGAAGCCTTGTGTTCGATAAAATCTATGTCCAAAAAAATTTTTTTAAAAAAAGATCAAGGCCAAAAATTGTAAAAAAAAAAAAAAAGTAGAGAAACAGGAGAGGATTTCCCCAAGAGACTTACAAAAGGTATTATTAAGAGCAGAATGTAGACGTATTAAGATAGAAAAGATGGGGACACTTGGTTATTTGGTAGCCGGAGCAGGGGATGGGCAGCACGTAAGTCTGCAATCTCTCCCAGATGGGAAGATGGGAATGAAAGAGCTTTCCTTCTAAACACAGAAGGCTTGGGACGTAGATTGCTCTGATGACAGAAATCGGCAGCTTGTCTGACATAGCATGCACAGCATCTAGACTTGCAGCATCCATACGTGTTCAACAAGATTCCTAAATCTCAGTGCTGTAACAAGAAGGACGGGATGCTCACAGTTTGGTTGGGCAGCGGAGGAGAGAGCCTCTCTGGTGCTACCACATGAGCCCCATCAGCCAGGAGGACACATGGCTGAGTTGCTTGGGGTTTTCAGGAAGATTCTTGGCTGGGGCCTGGGACCCCTGCCTTTTATGCTTTAGTAACTGAATAACATCACTTCCAAAGGAGTCCTAGGTTCACATAGACTTAGAAGGAGGGAGCCTGGAAGTCACCTCTCTAAGATGGAAAGCTGACATTCTCTCTTGCAGAGGGAACTGGGAGCTGCTCTGTCCTGGCAACATAAGCCTCCCCTCCATTTCTTTTCTGGAAATCAGTAGATCTAGGTATGGGAACACTTTTACATAAAACACATTCCATTGTACTTATTTTAGATCTTAGCCAAGACACTGAATCTGATCAAGTTACATTTGGAAGTGTTGCCATCTGGCCAGACGAGCTAAAAGAGAGATAAGTAGAGCCAATTTAGGCTAGAGATTTTTCGCATTCATTTGAGATGCAGGAAAAGGTGGCCTGCGACTGATGGAGAGTAAATGGGCCATTTCCCCGCTCCATTCATAAGAGGTAGTTAAATACTTGGTGACGTTGTGGTAATGCTTTTAGGACTTTCTATTATCATTTCTTAAATTGATGCTTCAAGTCAATGTGAAGGTCAGAGTTATTAAATTGTATTCTACTGATGTGGAGAAAGCTCCTAGAACTAAATGGAATTTCTTACTAATGTAACTGAGGACTACAATCAAGCTTATTGAGACAAAGAAAAAAAAAGAATCAGAAATCATCCTAAAACATGCGAAAGGAGGACTAACTTCTTACAGTGAACAGGAGAGAGGCCTGAGTTACACATCTTTCTCTGACATTTGTAAGTAGTGAGGCCTAGGGCAAATTTTATTTCTATTTCCTCTTCTTTCTGTAAAATGAGGAAACAGAATGACTTTTGCAGGTCTTTTATTATGCTCTAAGCTTTATCCACTTATGGAATCCTCTGACTAAATGGGGAAAACATTCTTGGTTGTATAAAATTTGAGTCCTACCATTGATGAGTGCTGAAACACCCCAGGAACCAAAGGTCTCCCCACTAAAGAAAAAGAGTCCTCAGAGAAAGCCGATGTGGACTACCAAGCAGGACGTCCAAGAGAGAATGGCTGACTGGGCCTGTGTGCCTCACAGGAGTTCTGATCTAACTAAGCACGGCCCTCAGTACTGAGGAGAAGAGTCTTCCTCCCTGTCACTTAAAGATGAATGTTTAGGAAGGAGGGGAAGGAGGGTGGAGAAAAGAAGAGGGAACAGCCAGGGATGGGAGATGAAAATGACAGAAGTCCTTATACACACACACACACACACACACATACACACACACACACACACACACACCAACATAATCAAACTCAGTAAAACCTATTGCAAAGGAGGGGGAAGGAGAGGGTATTAAGAAAGAGGAAAATGGAGTGATTCGATCAGAGAACAGTACATGCAGTTATATACAAATATCACAAAGGAACGCCTTTGTACAATTAAATTTGTGGTAATAAAAAGTGATGCAAATTGAAGACGCCAGACTCATAAAAAATAGAGTAACAGGAAAGGATCTTCTTGTCTTCTTACCTTCTACCCAAGCTGTATGGCTCAGGACAAGGTGTTTGTTCATTTCTCTGTGGCTTAGTTTCCCTAGCTCTAGAAATGGGAGAAAATCATAATGTGCAGGGCACCATGATGTTCTAAAGATTCAGTAAGTATTGGCATATAGTGATCATGTCATATATGTGTATATATCAGCCCTGTGCCTGCTCTAAAGCTCAGAACCTCTGTCTCCTTATTTATGGACAAGACAGTCTACTGAGACTATGTGAGTTAAGATCTCACTGAACAACCAAGAGTAGCTTTGAATTCAGTACATAGACATGGCTGGCCTTAAGCCTGCCTTTTACCAGGTCTCAGCCTCTCGATGGCTAGAATGACAGGTGTACTTTGCTCGTTCCTAGCAATGAGACAACCCCTGAACCACCAGCGGTCTATAATTATGGTGTGCAAGAAGAAATCAGGAGAGAATTGTCAGGATCATTCTTACCCCAAATACGTAAGGATGGTCACACATCTCTGGAGGATGGAACACAACCACCAGAATGACAAAGCGTATATAACTTAGTGAAAATTTGGGCTTAAAAGAAGTGGATGCCTATTTGCTTCTAGAAAAACTGGCTTGACGTATTAACAGATTCTCTAAGACCAAAAAGAAATGGACTCCAAATAGTCTGACTTAACACTGTCAGTTTGTCCACAGAGCGCAAGACGTTGGGAGACTCACCATTGAAGTTCACGTTGCGGATATACTTCAACAGCTTCTTACCCCCGGCGTGCTCCATCTCCGGGCACAAGCCCCGATAATCAGCACAGAGGTCCTTGTTCATGTGGTGAAGGGCGTGGGCCATGGCGTACACGGCGTCGATCACGAACTGAACTTTCCCCTCCTGCTCATAGTTGGAATCTTTGCCAATTCTCTCCTGCCCTGCACACGAAAAACCAGAAACACACACACATACACACATAGACAGATTGGTGTTTGAGGAGAAGGCCTGAATCCCCACCTCCTTTCAATCATGCATAAAGAAAAGCGAGCCTCTGGGAAGATGAGCTCACAAGCTGCAGGGCTTTAGGATGTTTCTCCTGTGAAAGTGTTTTGTTTGTAGTGTTTTAGTTTGGAGCACATGGCAGGAACCCTTCTGACTAGATATGCACTGAAAAATGTCCTTCCCAAGACCACAGCGACAGCTTTTGTAGTAACTCCAAACATTGCTTTTCTGTAGGATCTGGGTATTTGGGTGGGTGGGTGGGGGTGGTCTGGACCTTGAACTGCCACATTCACATCCTCAAAGCTTGTGTGTGTTAGAAAGACCAACAGGAAAATGGTAGGTGTCACATGACATTCCAGACCTGACTCATGACTGTTTGTTTTCTAGTCTTCACCTGTCTTCATGGTAGAGTCTCAGTCCCTGGAGTCCCTTCTAACTCTTCTTACTCCTACGCTTATTCTTTGGCTCTTTCTCTTACTCTTATTCTTTGTCTCTTCCTCCTCTTTGTCTTTCTCCCTATTTCTATCTCTATCTGTCTCTTATTTACTACTTACTCTTATTCTCTCTCTCTCTCTCTCTCTCTCTCTCTCTCACACACACACACACACACACACACATTCGAGTAAATAGCCAAGTCCTGTCAATTCTCACTCTGAAACACTGAACAGTTTGGGATGCTCTACTCATGCCCTATACACGATGTCTTCATCTTCTGTCAAGACACAATGCCAGATCCAATAACAATTCCTTCTTCTACGCTCATCTTTGCGAGCTGCACAGCCTAGCACCCCATCTCCCACACTCATGTTCCTTCAGCGGCTCCCCACTTACTTACACAATAAGGCCCGGATCCCTTCCCCTGACACGGACAGACACTAGTTTTTGTGCCCATCTGCTTCATAATGGCAACAGCTTACACCAAGAGCCCACAGTGGGTTGAAAACACTACATACACATGTACTTCAATTTTCACCTTTCCTTTTGTGAGTCTCCATATTGTTTATTCTCGTTTTCCTCGTGGGGAAACTGAGTCTTATCGAAAGAGTAAAACATTTATAGAGAGAACAGCAATGAGAGCTTGGCTGTATCAGACCCCAGAGGCCACATGATTCTCAATTCCTTGACTTTGGGTTTTTTGGTTTTGTTTTTTTGTTCATTTATTTATCTTGGACCATGTTTTGGTTTTTGTTTTTTGCTTGGTTTTGTTAAAATGCCCTTCCTCTTTGCTTTGATATGTCACCACGTAATTCTTTCTCTATGACCCAACCCCAGTGCTTTCTCCATTCAGTTCCTCAATCTCCCAGATTTCAAATCTCCGATACAACATGAATGAGGAGACAGAGCTGAATTTTCATGCCCTTTCACCGTGTTCCCAGTTTTCTCTTATTTCCCTTGTATCTTCAGTACTGGACACGAGACTTGTCATCTCTCGGATAACTACACAACCCTTGAGTTCAACCATGCATTCATTACGTAAGATTCTTCTTTGACCCTTTGTCCCCCATAAAGAATAATTACCCACAGATTGCATTTCTCTTGTACAGTGGTATTTCCTCAGATTGTTTTAGAGAGCCACATTCGTAACAGGCAAAGCAGCAGTAGTAATTCCACTACCCCAACCCCACACTCTGAAAATACACACATGGTCCTTCATGCCCACTGTGTTAAAACCATCTGTAGGCTCCTGTACACAAGGCTCTTTGTTCAGAACATTTCACATTGCAACGTAAACTGTAATCTCCACCAGAGAAACCCATAGTTCACCACATTTACTGATGCTTGAGCTTTTCCCTTGGAGAACAGACATTAATATCCTACATTCCAGATGTTCGGTGTTCCAGACGTGAATCAGTTAAATACCAATCAAATGTATGCTCACTGGAGCTGGAGCTCTATGGCTCTGGAAGGATTCATGCTACACTCATTGCTACTTTCAAGTCAAATTTAAGTCCTTAATCACCATGTTTACCTACTTTTCCCTTTAAAGAATAGTACTGTTCTTTAACCGTTGCTTTGTCTTATGCTATTTATTTCTCTTATTCATTCTGAGAGAGGGTCTCCCTGTCTAATAGCCCCAGCTGGTCTGGAATTGAGATCCTACTGCCTCAGTTTCCTGAGAGTTTACAGGATTACAGGTATATACTATCATGCTCAATAAAATGCCACTGCTTTACGATAGTATCATGACTGTTTATTTGCTTTATTCTATACCATGCAAACAGTGTAACAGCCACATGTAACAAGTAATCTAAAATGCACCATGAGGGTGTTACTTTTTCAGTGTTTCTTTTGTTTGTTTGCACATTTTGGAGATAGATTCTGAAAGTGAGAGTATTTTGTTAAAGGGTAAATTCATCTGTACTTCCGCTCTACCTTAGTAACTGCCCCCTTCTAATGTGCTCAGGGTTGCACCATTTTGCAGTCCTAGAGCTGCAATTGGTACGAATATTAATTTCCCTACAATTTCTCTAATAGAATTTACTGTTAAATTTGCTTTGCATTCATCAGATTTGGGAGAAATGTTGCTGCTTTGCACTGTTATTTGCATTTTCTCGGGTGGGGGCTGGATGTAGTTGTGTGTGGAAAGGTGTAAATTGCTTTCCTTTTTGGTGAAGTATTGATAATCTAGTCAACTGTTATAAAATGTTCAACTTCTCTATTTTAAAAACTATTTATTAGATAAATTCTTTGAAATTAAAATTGGAAACACTTCCCTCCTGGTTTGTCATTTTTCTTCACTTTCTTCAAGCAATCTCTTTTTTTCCAAAATGAAATTTTGGAAAAATTTTGGAAATTGTTTTACATAAATTGCTCTCTAACAAATTTATTGTTCTCTTACATCTTCTGGAGTCTGAGTCATCATTAGAAAAAAATATGCCCTGTTCATTTGGGCTAGGCAACCAGTGGTTCATATCTGTAATCCTAACTACTCAGGAGGCTGAGACCTGAGGAATTTAGTTCAAAGTTAGCCTGCATAGAAAGTCTACGAGAATCCTATCTCCAATTAGCTAGGAAAAAAGCCAGAGATGGAGACACAGCTCAGGTGTGTCAGCCTTGAAAGGTGAGAGAAAATAGGTAGCCCTGAGAATTGACACACAGACCACACACACACACACACACACACACACACACACACACACACACACACACACACACACACACTCGACAGATGACCCCACTCCAAGAGTATTAGATTCTTTGATGTTTTCTTACAGAATTGCATAATGTTAGCTTTTAGACTCAATATTTCATCCACTGGCAGTGAAATTTACCTGTAGCTTGAAGAATAATTCAGAATTACCTATATCCCTAAAGCCATCCTAATTATAACCACAGCATATTGAATTTGTAATATATAGTATACTTCTACTTCTCTGAATTTAGTTTCTGTCTTTTTATTAGATATAATACCATATGAATTTGAATCCATATAAATTCCATATTATTAAAGTGTTTATTCAATTTTTTTCTTCATGGGCTAACACCAATGTGTCAATTATAAAGGCTTGATAACTTAAATATCTAGTAAAGATTCTATTTATCCACATAATTACATATTTTAGGAATTCTTGATTTTTTTTCTGAAATGAGCTTTATTTGCAAGCATCTAGCTAAGGATGAAAAATGGCCAAACAATTTAGTTGTACATTCATTAAATCTGTTTTGTTTCTATCGTAAGTTTACGTAAGATAAAAATCTTCATGTAGGTCAGTCTTTTATCCATTTCCCCCCCACCCCCCACAGTCTACGGTCTGCTTTTGCATCCTACAGGAGGATTTTAAGTTTTTAAGTGTCGTATAGTTCAGCTGTACTGTTCTATTTCCTTTTGCTATTCTATATTTTTTTTCTGTGTATCTTCCCATTGATTTTCTTTGTGAATATAAAAGCTATTCCTGGTTTTGTTGGGCCTGTTTATTTTATTACATTATAGCTTTCTATTAAAGGAATTATGGACACAAAGCAAGATTAAACAAACCTTACAGCAAGTTCACTAAGTAGACCTTAGCATTACCTTTGACTATACTTTGCTGTTTACTAGTCTAACATTACCATTTCACTTACTTTATAAGACCACTCATGTTTGATATTAATTTTGTGACATGACATTCTACAGAAGTTTCCTTTTATAGCACTGCAAAAAAAAAAAAAGAGAGACAATATTGGAGGTATTATGACCACTATAAAATTTATACTATAAAATGAATTCAGTCTAATAATTCAGGACAGCAGGTTCTAAACTGTATCAATAAAGACATTCATTTCACAAAGAACGTTTTGTAAGATAATTGAGCTGTTTCCAATAATAAAAATACTTTATTACTTGAGAAACACTGCAGTCTTTCTGCCTGTCTCTTGGAGAGTCATCAGATACATTAGCATAGTTAGACAAGATGGGACTTAAATCGTCAACTTCACAGAACTTAAGAAACTGTCACCTTACATGAAGAAAATCACAAGTGGCAAGTTCATTTACCAAGAATGGCTAAGATGCAATGAGGCCTCATGGTCCCAGTGTGGCAGACACAAGTATTTGCCAGTTCCAGAGTCAATGGCCACTCTCCTAACAAATCTGACTATGGGCAGATACTGGTGGCCACCAACAGCATGGATTTTTTGCATCTCCCCAGAGTTCCTGGGAGTTAATCCTGCTTTCACAAAGCCACGGTTTCCCCCAGGGGCTGTCACAGCAGAGACATCTGCAGATGCCAGCCTAGCCAGTCAGGGTCTCCTGGGAAACTTCTGAGAACGTCAACTTGCTCGCCAATTGTACCCAAACCTCCCAGCCTCATTCCCACACTCTGCAATTATGCTGGTGATTTTGTAAAATTACACAGCGTATCTGTGACAACAGCGTCTGTGGTAGCAACACCTGAGCTGTCTGTTACCCAAGCCAGAATAAAATCATTCTATCTATGTTTATTATTTTGTGATCTAC